ATGGAAGAAAAGGTGCAGGGAATAAGAAGTACAATTGGTAGGTACCAAATAGACAGGGGGATGTTAAGAACAGTATAGGAAAGGGAAAAGTCAAAGAACTTGTATGCATGACCCTAAGGGGGGATTGCTGGACGGAGTGGGCAGAAGGGGCAAAGGGGGGAAAACTGAGACAACTGTAATAACATAACCAATAAAATATATTTTAAACATAAAACCAGGGCATTGGGGCAAAACATGTTTTGCTTTCATCTCTGGTGCTTCTCCTTGAGTTATATAGCCTTGAAAAAATTATTTAACTTTTTTATTCAAGAAACATACCATATACATAAATTCTAAAGATGGAGTGAATAAAAATAGTCCCTGTCCAGAAGCTTACTGATTAGGGGAAGAGACCAAGAAATTAATTTCATACAATTTGATGAATACTATCATAAGTCAAACATGGGGACAATAAAGGGGCATGAGGGAGACTTTTAACCTGACCTAGAGTGGACAGAGTAGCTTCTGAGAGAAGATAATATTGTATAGTACATATTACCCTTGTATATACTCTGATGAATCTCTAATGTCTTGGAGTAATAAAATGAAGAGCAATTGTATTTTTCTAGATCAGTGCTGTCCCATAGAAATGTAATGTGATATATGTAAGTAATTTTGTATTTTTTTTAGTAATTATATTAAGTAAAAAGAAACAAGTGAAATTTTGATAATGTATTTATAATCCAAAAACTCTAAAATAATATCATTTTAACATGTATTGAGGTATTTTTCTATACAAGGTCTTTGAGATTTATTCTGTTTTACACTTGCCACACATCTCTATTAAGACCAAGCCACATCTTAAGTACTCGACGGCCCAGCTAGGGACTACTCAATGGCACAGATCTATTTTGGACCAATGGTTTCCAATATTTTCGAGTATGAAGACTTAAATGTTTTGAGGATATCCCCATCACAATTTGGCACTTTTAACATTTATTGATTGTTAAATCATATTGAAAAACTCTATTAAGAAATTTAACAATGCTTTCCCACGTATATTAATTTTACATGATGGAGTCCACATATATTTGGAAAGTAGTATAATAGTATATGGCATTATATCAGGCCATCTCATAGCATGATATGATATAAGATGCATAAGCTAATTGGAATTAGAATTTGGTCTGACAAAAGAGGTGAATCGCTATTTTCAGGTATGACTTAAATTCTGTTGTAATCATCTCTATTACTAAGACTAGTAAAGTTGACAGAGCACTTTTTAAGAGGTTCTTATAGAGGTGATTCAGACATCACAGTGGCAGGATGATTACTAAGCTAAAGAATCTAGTCCGAAGGTCTTTTTCAGTTTATGGCAATGATTAATGTGGGTTCTCCTCCCAACTTGTTCACTTAGCAGCCAAGACCTTAGGCAATATACTTAACCTCCTGAAGCCTCAGTTTTTTTCATCTTGTTAAAAAACAGGAACAGTATCTACTTAATATTTGAGCATCCTAAGCACCTTATATATATCGACTCTTTAAATTCTCACCACAACCTTATGAGATGTTGCTATATTGTCCTCATTCCACACAGATGCACACAGAGGCACAGAGATGTTAAATAATTTGCCCAAGATTACTCAGCTGTGATGTGGACGCAAATTTGCACTTTATTTATTTATTTATTTTATTTATTTATTTTTAGAGAGAGGGGAAGGGAGGGAGAAAGAGAGGGAGAGAAACATCAGTGTGTGGTTGCCTCTCACATGGCCCCCACTGGGGACCCGGCCCACAACCCAGGCATGTGCCCTGACTGGGAATCGAACTGCACCTCTGGTTCACAGCCCATGCTCAATCCACTGAGCTACACCAGACAGGGCAAAAAGCCTGCACTTTAAATCCCTGTGCTATACTGCCTTTTTTGAATTTCCATGAGTCAACAATAAGATAATGTATATAAACATCTAGTACATGCATGTTCAGTAAACGTCCGTTTATTATTATTATTATTATTATTATTAAAGATTCTAATGCCCATAGTTTGCCTTTTTAAACTGTTTTTTCCTAAATTGAAATACCTTGCTTTATCATTCAGAAAACAGTTCCAAGTCCCACCACTTTCATCAATCTTTTTTTAATGGGGTTAATTTTTCTAAAAATTCATTTTGATATCTAAGTGTAGCCCATGATACTCTATCAATGATCATACCTTAATACTTTACCAAGAGTGGTAATTGAAGAGGAGGAATCTCTCTCACATTCCACCCCCACTCACAGAAAGTCTCTTATTCTCATTTATTCACTAGGGACCTATTCTATGCCAGGCTCTCTGCTAGGTGCTAGATATTTGTTGGTAACAAAACAGACGGTCCTCTTTCTCATTTCGATGATAGAATATGACATTAAACAAGTATATACATACAAAGTGTGGTGTTATAAAGAATAAAGACAGCATCTGAAAGACAGTCTAAGGGATATAACTTAAGTAGGGGAAGTCAGAGAAAGCCTCTCTTGAGGAAGTACATCTAGGCTGTAGAACAATCCCAGAAGAATGAGTAGGACTTTGGCAGGGAAAGAGTGACTGGAAGAACATCGCAGTCAAAGACCCTGAAGTGAAAAGCTGGCCCTGTTTAGAAACTGAAGAAAGCCAGTGTAGCTGGGAAATACTGAGCAAGGGTGAAGTGGCAGAAACTGAGGTTGAATACTATGCAGGGTGATGTCAGAATCTGATAAGGTAAAGGTACATTGTGCAATTTGAGAAAGATACCTATTATTTACACAACCCAAACTCCGGGCATTAAACCTTGCCTAACTCTTGTTGACTAGAAGGGTGGGGAGTGGGCACAGTTTTAAAAAGAATGAGCAATACTGACCCACTGATACCATTTGAAGCGTATTAGTGTTGCTTCTAAATAGTGAATTCCTTAAACATCGCATCTGATAGTTTTGCCTGGAATTTAGTTGGTAAACATCCACACTGTCTGCTGTGACATGCAAGATGTCACAAGGAGATGAAAATGGTTGAGTGACATTGCCTGTGGCCACAAAAGAACTTAACAGCTATTATCAAGTAATATAAGGAAATGAATAAAAAGAGCGGGTGGAAATTATAACACCGCATGGCCTAAGTGTGAAATTAAGCCTGCTGCAACATTCTGAATTATAACACTTATTATATATTGTATATTGAGGCTTAAATTATCTACTTGATTCTGGGAACTGAAGTCCAGGTTGGATGGGGAGTGAAGTTTGAGTACCCCCAAACAGTAGCTGACACATCAGCAAATAGAGCTACCAGTGTTATCTACAGTGATTTATTTTTCCCAAAACAAAATTTCCATTTAATCAATACTTAGAAAAATAACAAAACACTTGAATAAATAAGTTGGTTATGTTAGTTATAAATTACTAAAATAAGAAATGAACAAAAGTTTTGCAATGAAGATAGAAAAGTTCAGATATTGTATGTAGTATGCAATAAGAACCAGATAAAAATAGACATTGCAAAAAGGCATGTTCTCTCTGAATATTTATCCTATAGCTGAGTTATAAATCACCTAAGCAGTATTACAATTAGTTCAGCCTCATACCCCAGAAGGACCACGTGGTAAGTACATGGCTAACCAACTGAGCCTTTTAACACAGGGGCAAAATCAGTGACATCCCAAAGAAACAGTTTTCCAGTGTCAGAATGATGATATGGGTTCTCTCCCCATTGCTTGGTTGCTAATCTTTCTCTGTAAAATCCTACCAAACATCTAGAAGTGGTTTAGATAATTGGCCTATGCTTGTGCCCCCAAGTATTTCCCATTGCACTGTTACTTCTGGTTTTAAAGTTCTACTAACACCATAGGAGACAAGGATAGAGAATTATGAATTGGATGTGGTACCAAAAAGGTAATGCATAGGAGGAAATTTTGCTGTACTGAGTACAGAACAAATTTAGTTACTGGAAAGAGCTGTTGGTTCCAAGGGCTGCTACCCATTGTACTTTCTAGGTCCCAGAATTAACACCAAAGTATTGAGAGAGAAAACTAGGGACTTTTCCCCAATGGAAAAGGGTTGGCATGAGACTTTCCAAATGTATCCACAGACAAATGAAGGAACAAACACTGAGAGGATTGTTTGATTTCATTTCAGACATCCCATTGAATCCCGTAGATTAAAGCCAGGTATGGCCGGCCCCTGTGCTTTACAAGGGAAAACGACGAAGCATCTTGAAGAAAGGGATCTAAACGGTCATCCAGTATCGAAGAGTCTTAAGATGGTAAGGAAGGAGGAGCCTGGGAATGACTAAATGATCCAATGCCACAGAAATAAAAATATTAAGAACAAGAGTGTTTCTTAAAAAATTTTTTTTAAAAAAAGAGTGATTCTGCCCTGGCTGGTGTAGCTCAGTGGATTGAGCATGGGCCTGCGAACCAGACAATCGAGGTTCGATTCCCAGTCAGGGCACATGCCAGGGTTGCAGGCCAGTTCCCTGCAGGCCACTTCCCAGCAGGGGATGCATGAAAGGCAACCATACATTGATGTTTCTCTCCCTCTCTCCTTCCCTTCCCCTCTAAAGATAAATAAATAAAATCTTAAAAAAAAAAAAGTGATTCTGATTGCTTTATCAAAATGTTCCTCACAGAATTCTTTACAAAAAACACCATTTGCATAAGGAATCATTCAACAAATTCAAGACCTTCCATGTATAGGACACTGATCAAAAAAGGCAGAAGATCCATGTTCTTGGTTCTTAATACAACTCCAAAATATTTAAACTTCTGAAAGGTTAACTGAAAAATTTTAAACTTCACATCACTTACAAAATCAATGGTGCTGAAATTTTTATTTAGTATTGTACTTGTAGTGCTGTCCCTATTTTTTTGTTCACAAGAACAAAAGCTTATTATTAGCTTGCTATCTAAAATATGTTCATGTTTTACTATATATTAGTACAAATATATATATGTATAAAACAAAATTTTCTGACTTCTAAATAAATTTGAAAAATTATGGAAACGGAATCAGTATAAAGTTAAAATTACAATATATTTAATCCATTAATTCTAAAATTTAGGGTCGTCTTCATGAAAGAAATGTACGAACTGTACCCTTGATTGTACCTCTACAAATAGGGCATTTTCTTAGAGAAGGGGCACACTCCTTGCATACTGCTAGATGACCACAAGGAATAAACACTATGGACACTTCTTTGTCCATACAGACTTTACATGTTCTTTCTTCTTGCAGTCTCCTCAATTGTTCTTCCACTGGTAAATCTAAGAAGAGAAACATGTTTTTAATAAAAGGCAATTTGCTGCTTCTTCCCCAATGAAAAGCCAAGAAAATAAAAATAATGTTTTCTACTGGCTTAAATCATTAATGCTATTTTACCTGAAATATTTTCTGTGGGAATATACTTTATGTCCTGTCGCACTAAGGGAGAAAAAGAAAAAGCATTACCATGGCAAATAACGTTAATATTTAGTCACAGAGTATATATCTTTTATTTTTTATTTTTTCTACTGTGCAGCCTGCTTCAGTGCCTGCAGCCTACCAGCAGAGGCTGGGCAATGGTTCCAGGCCAGGGTGCTCTGGCATGGGGCACTATGAGAGACCCAGGGGGACGGGCCTGCCATAAATCCAAGCCCATGCATTTAAATTTTTTTATTGTTATTCTATTGCAGTTGTCCCAATTTTTCCCTTTTGCCCTCTCAGCCCAGCCCACCATCCACAGAATATATTTTTAAATCAACAGTTTAGACTTTGGCCAAATACTATAAATAACTGTCATAATGTCAAGGCAATGAAAGTGTTTTGTGCAGTTAATAGTTTATAAATTAAATTGGACTTTTTCCAATTATCACAAATTATTAATAAGAGCATATTTTTAATTGATCTAGAAAGTTCTCAAAACTAATTTTCTAGCACTTACCAAATAAACGCTTGTATAATATGGGGTCAATTTCTTGTAGAGACTTTCTGAATACGGTGGCTGCAAAATTTCCTTTTACTATAACAGTATCAATCAGTTCTCTTGCTTGCAAATATGTCTGTGTTTTCTGTTTAATAACTTCATGTTCTTGTTCATTAATCACTCTGGCAATTAGTAGACTATCCAAGATTGGAAGCACACAAGTCAAATGTTGAAAAAGTGCCATTCTACTTTTCCGGATACATGATAGATCATCTTTATAAAAAAGAAAGCAAACACAGACATGTTCAATCTCTGCTCACAAACTTCCTTCCAGGCTTACACATAGAACTGAATGAAAAACAACTGTAATTCATGATAACACATTGAAGTTGATTGCTAGGTTTGGGGTACCTGATCCCCTGTGCCTGGTAACACTGCTACTTATAATAAGGACTAACACTGAGAACTGTGGTAAGTGCTATATGTGTATTTACCCAGTTCATCTTCACAACAGCCCTTTAAGGTAGATACTAGTATCTCAATGTAACAGATGAGAAAACAGGGTGGCAAGTAAACTACTAGAGAACACACAACTAGCAAAAGTCAAAACAATGCAGTTTGGCATCATAATATGTGCTCTTAACCATTTGGCAATATTGCTAAGCCTTTAACCAAATAAAATTTAGAACCTAAATAAGATTAAAATGTTGATTCAATCTGGTCAAGCTGGGAAAAAGTATCATCAGGAAAATTGAAATGATAAAACATTTTTTCTTAAATTATCATTTGCCTATAAAATTCCTTTAAAATTCCATTTTAAGATGCAATTTTAATTATTAATATTTCCCCAAATTAAATATGATATTGCCATTACCTAACTATTTTGTAGTAAAAGGGGAAAGACACTAACAGCATTGTAAAAACTAAATCGTACTTGTCAGTGACACATTCCTGTCCTTTTTTTAAAAAGAATTTACTTATTTACAGGAACTAGTATAAAAAACACAATGGACAACAACTAAGGGGGTGGAAATGGGAGGGAGGTGGGGAGCGGTGGGCTGGGTTGGGAGTAAAAGACAGAAAACTGTACTTGAACAACAATTAAATTTAAAAATTTTTTTAAATTTATTTATTATTTTTAGACAGAGTGGAAGGAGGGGAGAAAGAGAGGGAGAGAAACCTGAATGTGTGGTTGCATCTTGATTACCCATCTCTGGGGAGCCTGGCCCATAACCCTAGTATGTGCCCTGACCGGGAATCAAACCAGTGACCCTTTGGTTCACAGGCTGGCGCTCAATCCACTAACCCATACCAGCCAGGACCATTCCTGTCCTTTAGGAGCATTTTACCCTCCTTCCAGATCTAGATTTTGTATCTATTGGTAAAATGTTTCCTATTTTGAAACTCTGAAATTTTATTATCTCTTTGAAAAATGACCTATGACTCCAATAATTATTTCATAATCATATAGTTTTACCATGATCCATATAGCTATTTCTATTACATAACTAATGAGAGAAGTTAGAATGTCTAGTGGAGAATTGGGAGAGATGATTTTCAGATTTTTAGAAACACTTAATTTGGCAAGTAGTAGGACACAAAAATAGAACCATTTAATAAAGAATAAAATACGGGGCTTGGTCAAAAAGTCAAGATAAGAGACACACATTCTGAAGAGAATTGGAACTCAGAATAATGGAGAAGAGGACCAGGACCTAGAAAAGTGTCTGGCACAAGGTCGATGCTCCATGAACACGTGTCAAACAAATGGACAACCAAGCCTGAGTGATTGAAAGAGCAATGAGAACAAAGAAGTGATAACCAAAGTGGGAGAATAACTAGAACTTATTCTGTTAAATTACCTGTGTTATGTTAAAAAAGTTAAACTATAATTTACAGTTGATGTTGAAGTATATTAGTTTTCAACCAAAGACTAATTTTTCTAATTATATTATACTTAACCTAACTAATGAGTTGTCTGAAATTTTAAAGATTTCTAAAATTGGATTGCTAGTGGAACAACTGTAATGGAAAAATGTCTCATTTCCTAGTCACAGACTGTACTCTGGCTAATAAGAGGTGAAAATAACTTTGAAGCATATCATTCTTTTATTCTGGAAAAATATTCTTAATAGCCTCTTTATTTACACACCTGTCAAGAAATTACTCACCCATCATTCTTGGGAAACTATAAAATAATCAGTAACTTAAATGGAAATATGTTTATTCACTCATTCAAAAAATATTCTTGAGAGCAGACACCGTGCTCGGTTGTATGGATATAATGCTGAGCTGAGAAGCTAAGGGATCTTTTTGACAATGCAAATTATTGTATATTGTTGACTTGGGGTTATATCTGGAGACTTTGTTGATTTGGGAGGGAGGAAACATAAATATTTTATAACTGGATAGCTTTAGACTTCATAGGGTCTGTAAATACTTGTGGAGATGGGTGTTCTTTCTTTGAGCAATTGTTCACTGATGAGCAACAGCCGAGCCTGAGAAGACTACAGGAAGGACCTGCAGCCTGATCTTCACTTCACAGTGAAAAAGAGAACTTGAGTAGGGTGGGCAAAGATGAACTTGGATGAGTTTGCTGCTAAATTGGTGGTCTGTACGACTGAATAATTCACACTTTGGTAAATATACAATATTGTATTACTATGTGTATTATAATGCACTATATGTGCTATGTAATACTGCAAATACTGATGCATTTGCCTGGCTTGGCCAGAAGATAAAGCCACCTTTGTGGGCAGGGTAAGTTTATTCAGGGATAGAGTGGACAATCTCACTGTCAATCTAGGAAGAAATAGATCCCAGATGGCCTTGGACAAGAATAAGGGGTAACCTCTTTTCTCCTTCTGTGCTTAGTGGATATTTGGGGGCCTGAGCTTTGATATGGGAAAACATGCTTGCAACTTTCCTAGTCAATTGTGTACACTGGCCACAGCTATGCAGAGATGAACTAGAAGCCAGGAAGAGAGATTCATCAGGATGGACTTGAGGCACCAAGAGAGGCCACATAGTCACAGTTGTCAATTGTCATTTGTGCTCTAGTGTGCTTCTGTTATCCCTAAACCTCCAGGAAGAGCTTGTTAAAAGTTGCAGTCTTTTTTTAGCTGTGTTGAACGGACTCTCAGATCTAGTCTATGCTGGGGAAAGATGGCAAAGGGGAGATCATCTCTCTCTCTTTAGGCCACAGTAACGAGAGTAATCAGAGCAACCAGATGAAACTGGACACGCTCTGAGGAAGAGTTTTTGTGAAAGGCAACATGGTAAAGGCAATAAAGTAGCAGACAAAGCTCATATGGAAGGACGTGGGTGGTTGTCTTGAGAGAATGTGAAATAGTATCCTAGGACTCCCCTAAATACTAGGGGGACACTAGGAAGGGAAATGGGCCCTGGGTGGGCAGGTGAGAGACGTAATCGTAATTTGTATACCAATTTATAGCTACAGGTTAAGACATACTATTAGGCTAATATTAAAATTAGTAATTGTCCCTGATCCCACCCTGATTTACAGCAAATGGGAGTGAGCAACTAGCCTGGGGTCAAAAATACGCCATGAATAATTACATACACAGCCAGTTACTCAGAGTAAAATTATAAATTAAGAAAAAGCAGGAAAAATGCTTTCATTCAATATATACATTTTCAATTTATCAAGCAATTCAAATATATTTTAACGTGAAGAAATTTTTCAGAACTCAAATTCAGAATACCGAACATAAGAAAAATTTGATTGAATTGACTATATTTTCAGTAACTTGTATACAATGACATCGAATTCTTATAGAAATAGAGACTGCACTAATAAATATGTGTACCTGATTCTTCTTCCTCAGTTGCTCTTTCTTTCTCCTCTTCTCTTATTTCATCTTCAGCATTAAGTAAATCTAATACAAGGTCACTGACGACTTTGTAATTCTCTCCACTTGTTAGGATTTTACTCTGAACTGTCTGTTTGACCAGCCTTCTACTGAAGCCCATTTCCAAGGCAGCTTTAACCACAGGTGTATTCATCATGACCGCATCTTCTGAACGGTTCTCTCCTGGTCCATAATGAATAACTGTATAGAACAAAGAATTTAACATATGTTGGAATAATCTGTATTTTTTTAATGGAAAGCTATTACAATATCAAAAGCATAAAGTCCCCAAAATATATAGGCACTATTATATATAAACTTCGTTAAATTTAAAGTAATGAGCCTAGCCAGTGTGGCTCAATTGGTTGGGTTCATCCTGAAAACTGAAATGTCGCCAGTATAATTCCCAGTCAGGGCACATGCCTGGGTTGCAGGTTTGGTCCCCAGCGAGGGTGCTCTCTCATACTGATATTTCTCTCCCTCTCTTTATCCCTCCCTGCCCCTCTCTCTAAAATAAAAAATAAAAATAAAATGTATTTACAATAATGATATACATGTTGAGTTACTAGAATAAGAATATAGAATATTGTGTTCAGATACAAAATATGCATTATCTGGTGTAACTATGAGTGGGAGAAAGAAATGGAATGTCAGAGATCACTCCTAGCAGAACAAAAGTTCTTTTTTCCTGTGTTGAATGAAAAAATGAACTTTCTAAATCAAGTATATTTCACATATTTTCAGAAGAGACCATTGTCCTCATTTACCTTCATTACTGCAATAGCCTCTTTCAGTGTTGCTTCCATCTAGTTCATTCTCAACATTGCAACTGTTGACTTTTTAAATACTAAATCTGCTGTGTCACACTCTTAAATTCCATCAACAATTCCATTGGTCTCGGGATGACATTCCATTGTGGCTTGTAAAATCTCACGCATTATCTGGACCTGGTTTACATCCTTGTTGGGAACCATCCTGCCTGGTTTCAGAAGCTCTAACCACCCTCCCCTCCCCCCACCATGGCTAAGGCTGAGGGAGAGACCTTGGGACCATAAGGCACCAAGGAGACAAAGCTTATCTTCCTGGCAGGGGCACCACCTCTGTTTCCCTTACCTCACCCTGCCTGGCCGCAAGCCTGACCAGTTAGCCAATGACAGGTAAGATTCCTCAAGGGAGGAATGACCAAAATAGGCATGGTCATGAAGGAGCTCCCAGGGAAGGACTTGTGGGGCTATAGAAAAAGGGGGTGATAGCCTAATTCCTCATTCTGTCTGCAAGAAGTCTCCTAATCTCTTGGCTGCCTTACTTCCCCTGCCTGACTTGAGCCTGAAACAATGACAGAGAGTGGTGCAGCCCTGAGCTAGAAAGGGCAGGTTCCCTGGGCGATTAGGCCTAAGAAAGAATGCATAAAATCCTGTGAAACCTGCTTTGCTAAGAATGCTCTCAATTTTCTGATAAGGGTCTGAGCATGAAATGAGTTTGTTTCCTAAAGTTTTATAGCCTTTTAGCAAACTGACCCTGACTCAGAATAAGCCCTCATAGTTCTTTGTATGTTATCTATTATTTGATCCTAACTGCCTGACAATGACTGATGAGCTTTACCTGTATTCCTATGCAAATTGAACTCAATAGAAGCCCATTGAGGAAAAGACTCCCCGCCCTTCTCTTTTGAGAGATCAGCCACCTTTCCTCCCCAAGCAGATCACATCTTGGAAGATTTATTCTCATCCCTGGTGGCAGGGCGAGGCCCTGTGGGTGAAGCCCCGCCCAACGCCCTCATCCTTATCTCTCACCACTTGTTCATCCATACTCTTCACTCAGTTCAGAAGTCACAGATTCTGCCTGCAGTTCTGACTGCTCTTACTGCTGACCTGATTCATTCATTCATCTGTCTGAAAATCCGACATCTGGCCATACAGAATCTTGTTTAGTCCTTCAAATGTGCCTGTTCTCTTCTGTCAGTTAAGTCTTTCATGTGCTAATCTTTCTGCATTTTCTTCCCTTTGTCTCTTAGTTAACTGCTACTCTTCCCTTTGATTCTGTAATAAGGCAAATACCTTCTCTAATTTGAAGCTTTTTTCTGATCTTCCAAGTCTGGGTTAATTGTCCTTCATCCACTCTTATAGCACTTAACTTTCCCACCATATCCCTCTCTCCTGTCTTTGTATTGGTCTGTATCCCTTCACCAGTTCGGTCATGAGAACAGGGGTTACGTTTATCCTGTTCTCTATTCTATCCTCAGAGTAGCAGATACACAATAAATATTTATTGAATTGAATACTAGATAATAGAGTAGAAGAGCTTGTTCAAATATTGGCTCTATCACCTCTTACTTTTAAAGTGATGGACAGATTACTTAACCTCAATGAGCCTCAGGGTCACCATTAAAAAATGGGAATAATATCTTTACTGTCTCCATTTGACAGAAAGAATGTGTGAGCAATCAAAAGTCATAGTGCATCTGTTTCCAAATGGTCTGAGAGCAAGAGTTAAGACTGGCTGTATGTAGTTCTCAGAATAACAGCTGCTCCAGCACCACCCTTCGATACTATGATTCAATTCAGTAAGTTTGAAATAGAGACCAGAAATCTGTAATATTTTTTAAAGTTCCTTAGGCAATTACAATATGCCCAAAATTTTGAGAAATATCCACTTAATATATTTGAAAAAGCACTTTAAGTTTTAAATCATAACAAATGTATATTATAACTATTATCAAATTTCAATTTTAACAGTACCAAGTGGCTCTATTTAAATGCAGCAGTTATTCTACGTACTTGGTGACTCTGCATTTTCATCTTCTGGATTGTCTGAAGTAGATAACAGCTACAGGAAAAAATAAGGTATAAAAATTAAAATATAAATCTTATCCCATCCATTGCAAAAAATAAAATTCATCAAGAGACATATTTTATTGAACTTATTGCAAACTGACTTGCTTATAGACAATATAATTTTTCATGTCAAAAGCATGATTTTATTTACATATAACAGTAATTTCCTAAGCCATAAACTAATAGAGTTTCTTCATGTATGAGTATGTGTATATTAACAAATAAATTCTGTTTGCATTAAGGCAGGAGAAGGGCTAGACCTTTTCAGTGATCAATTCAGTGATGACACAATTATTGTTTACCTTTCATCCCGCAGAGCTTATATTTCCTGGGTCATCCTTTGGGATAAGTTGGACATTTAAAGTTCCATTTACTATGGCTAGAAAGTGTCTGATCCCCAAACTACTCTATAAGTTCTTATTTGCTTTTCCAGGAAGATTAGAAAGAGCAATGCAATTCTTGTCAAATCTTTTTAAGGAAAATTAATATAGTAAACCATTACAATTCTACTATCCCATCCAATTTTTCCTCAAATAATTTTATTGTGACTTTATGAGAAAAATATTTAAAGAGAAATATAACTTAAATACTATTTTTCAGGAGGTTTTAAATTCTGGATCTGCTTTTATCCTAAGAATAGTACTTTCTGAAATTGAATTTAATGAAATGAGGAAAGAATGAGGAAGCTGAACACATTTGCTGAACACATTTTCTAAATAGTAGATATTCACAAGTTTGACATTTCCTACATACTATACATCCATTGTCAAATTTAAGTTTAGCATCTAAATCATGCTTAGTATTGTAAAAACAAAAATGTATTTTTAAAGCAACTCTTGCCTTTGAAGAAAAACACTACTCTCTGTAAATATCAGAAAATACTTTACCTGTTGTTAACCAGAGATTAAGAAAAATAAAGTCCCTACCTGTTCAAGTAGATAAGGGTAACTGGCTTGAATTCGACTGATGAACTCTTGTCCTTTAACTCGTATCAAGTACTCACACCTAAAATGTAAACAAAATTAAGTTTGGGGAGTTATTTTAATCTGGCCATTTGTGGACTGGTCACATTTTAAAATAGCATAATATACATATAAACACTTGATTATTCATTTAGCACATGGGAAGTGGTAAGAGACGCTGAAGTCAAAGGCGAGATGCTGAAGTCAAAGGCGAGATGATGTCAGCCAGAGGACAGCTATGACGGTAAGCTGCCGAGGCTGTAGAGGATATGAGTCACACACTCTCCATCTGCGGTAGGTGAGTTAAGCTGCCTCCACACAGACCTCCTAGCTGCTCTTTTTGACTATTCTAATATTCCTAAAAGCACTCTGAACATTAAGAACAGAGCCAAAGAGAGGTAGAAAGTTATCTCATTATTGATATTGTTGATAAATAAGTTTTGTATGTTGAAAAGATGAAAATATACAAAGAGGGATGAGAGAAAGAATGAGGATGCTGAACACATTTTCTAATAAGTAGATATTCACAGGTTTGACATTTTCTAAATAATATACATCCATTATCAAATTTAAGTACAAAATGAATTCATGATAATAGCAAAACAAATTTACCATTTTTTTATCTATTCATAAAATTACCAGAATGGAAAGTCAGCAGCACTTTTTAAAACACCTTTGTAGAGTGTTCTTTATAATTATTGAAATCTGAAATATTTGGGGAGTACTAAGTTGGTATAAATGAAGCTGCAGTATTATATTTAAATATATATATAAGGAAAAGAAGTTAGGATACCAAGGTTAGTAATCAACATTAGAAACACTACAACTTTTGACCATGATTAAAAAAGTTAATCCTAAAAAAATAATTATAGGCCACCTAATTCTCATTCAAAAAAAGGGGGAACTCTAAACAAGTATGGAATATTCAAAAGTGTAAGATATGACAATAAAAGGCTATGTAGTGATCAAAACAGATGGGGCTGTATTTACCCTAATCACCCTATTTGCTATTACAACCTGCCTGGTGCTTCTGATCTCCCTTACCCTGCTCTTTTTTTCCTTTTTATTGATAGTACTTACTATCTTCCAACATGCAATGTAACCTGCTTATTAAGTTTATATTGTCTGCCCTTTCCTGCTGTAAAATCAGCTTATGAAACCAGAAGTCTTGGTTTTGTTCCATCGACTATTTTAAGCACCTGGAACACTGCCTGGCAATAGATCAATTAATATTATTTGTTTAAAGTATATTTTATTTATTACACTATTATAGTTGTTCCGGTTTTCCCCCTTTGCCCCTGTCCACCTGGTTCTCCCCTTCCCTCCAGCAATCCCCCCACCTTGGTTCATGTGCATGTAAGTTCCTTGGCTTCTCCACTGCCTATATTGTTCTTTAGATGCCCCTGTCTATTCTGTACCAATTATGCTTCTAAATCCCGATACATTTTCTTCCATTCTTCCCCTCCTCCTCCCCACTGATAACCCACCATGTGATCTCCATTTCTGTCATTCTGTTCCTGTTCTAGTTGTTTGCTTAGTTTTTGGTTTTTAGATTCAGTTGTTGATAGTTGTATCAATTAATACTGAATGTTGAATGAGTAGAAATATATGCAGCTATAATGTTGACTGAAAAAAAAGCTTCTAAACCGTATCCACAACATCTAATTCATGTAATAAAATTACATACATTTATGTATGTACGTACATAGGTTCTAGAGGGATGGTCACTAGTAGTCTTTAGCTTGTGAGTTCTGGACATTTTAATTTTTTTTGTCTCAGTGATTTTGGTTTTATAATGAGCATATATTATTTTAAAATATATACTAATTACACAAAAAAATTCTAAACCTGTTTTTTCTTTGTCTTAAATTTTCATCAAAACCTTTTAAGTAACTATTTTTCTAAGTAATCCATCCACCCATCCTAAATTAATTCACAAATATGTTTTTGAAACAAAGAAGAAAGTAACAGCTGATTATAACGTACATCTATATAACCCATCTCATTACAATCAACCCATTTGCAAAAAAGAATATCAAAACAATTACCTTGGAAACCACTTGGCATGTTCCACCCATGGGTCATCTCCAGGTTCCCAACACCTCAGTCCGCCATCACAGCAAAAACATTTGACATCATCGTTGTAACCTAAAATTAATTTGGACCAAAACTTATAAATACATATAATTTTCCCACTAAAATGTACAAAACATGTTGAATTTTTAAATTCTTATTATCGGATTAGGTGTCTTACCCATGTAATAGAAGCCGGCGCTTGCAAGCTGCTCAGGATGAATGGGAACACTAGCGGGCCAGCTACTGAATGTTTTGAAACGTGCTGCCTGTGTCTGCATGCTCAGGTTAGAAATACTGTATCTCGAAGTGTCTTGAGGCTGACTTTCCAAAAATGGGCATTTGGGGAAATGCCTCAGGTGTTCTGTCATAGCATCATCATCCGGTTCCCAGTTGCTCAATTTTCCACCACAGGCATAGCAAGCCACTCTGTCTCCGGGTCCCACGTAGTAGAAACCTGCTTTTGCCAGATCTGTTGGCGACGGGCGGGTCGATGGCCACATCTGGAAAGTGAGTAATCTGGCGTTTTCAGTACTCATCAGGCCATAGTTGGGACTTCTCAAGGCGGAAATATCTTGATTTGCTTCGGAGTTTACAGGGCTTGAGGGAAAGCTTGAATAAGAGCCACTGAAATAACCAATGTTTTCTGAACTTGGAAGTAATAAATGTGTGGAATTTGTCACTGAAAAAGGCAAATTAAACTGAAAGGCGGCTCCCGAAATGTTACCTGAATTTAGTTTCTGAACAAAGCTACAGCTAGGATACAACTTTTTATGCTTCTCAATAGGGTTGTCTCCTTGTTTCCAGTTATCCAGCATCAGGCCACAACAGAAACATTTGACCTTGTCATTCACACCAGTATAGTAAAATCCCGCACGGGCGAGACTCCTTTCCGACACAGGAACAGCAGTGGGGAAAGTTGAATATGTAGACATTCGGAACAGTTCACATGAAAAGTCGTATTTCAGTTCAAACATGTTGGCGTTTTTCATCAGATTTGATAAGAATTTGCTGTCTTCTACTATGTTCATAAAGAAATGGATGGGGAGGAAAAGGGACTAGCCTTTCTCTAGGGAGGTAGTTTTGTGCATGACTTTTGATTTTTGTTAATTTTAGTACTAGGTGGGACACCTAGAATGGAAAATCTGTTCTTTTTTCTCCTGTCTTCAGGGTTTCAGCACAGCAAGATTAAAGTCCTACACTGATACATCTTAAGGGGCAATTATGTAATGAAGAGCACCTTTGTACAATTGGACAATGTAAACGTGATGCTACACAGTACCTCGTGATGAAAATAAAACCCTTCATGAAAGTGTAGAGTGCTTTAGGTCATCAAGACGCCATTTAGTGTCTGTCAGGTGTTCCACAGGTGGATCAACTTCTCCACTAGAAGGCTTCAGTGACAGTCAGCCAGCCTAAAGGTAAAATGTCTGACTCAGCTGGCTTGCTTTCATGACGGAAAGTTACGCTCTATACACACTCTGTGGAAAAAATATTCAAACTATGTTTATTTTGCTTTATTTCAATTGTGAAATTTGGTAGTCAGGGAAAAAAAGTGTTAGGAGGACAAGAATACATTACCATAGTTCACTGATTGTAAGATGCATGTTTTAATATCTCCGGTATAGAGAGGTATCTTTAGATATGATATTTAAAAGGACAATTTAAATATCATATTTAATTAGCAGCATTTTTATTTCTTGGAGGTATATAAAATAATGATATACTTTATAATTGATGACATCTTAGAGTCAATGAAATATAGTATATCTGAAGTCTTGCTCAAATTAAGTAATTTATTCCCTACAATCACTTCAATAGGGAGAACTAATCAATCTATAATTTTCTTCCAGATAGAGCTAAAGTAGTAACAGAATTGACAGATATGTGTTAAGACCTTGTTTAAGATTTAATAAATAATTATTATTTTCCATAGATAGGAACTGAGTTGCTTTGTAATAATGATACCATCAAATCTTAGCAAATTAGACATTCTATTTTAAATAAATTATCAGAGATGAATGTATTTGCTCAACAGGTTTTTTAAACTCGGCTTCATGCTGTTGAGAGCCAATATCATATCTTCTACTCTGGTAGTGGATTTTTTTTCTTAAGATTTTATTTATTTTTAGACAAGGAAAGGGAGGGAGAGAGAGAAACATCAATGTGTGGTTGCCTCTCAGGTGGCCCCCACTGGGGACCTGGCCTGCAACTCAGGCATGTGCCCTGACTGGGAATCAAACTGGCAATCCTTTGGTTCGCAGCCTGCACTCGACTGAGCTACACCACCAGCCAGGGCTGGATTTATTTTAAAAAAGTCAAAAGTCAAGAGTGGTGAGTCTATAGCCTAACTTGGATAAGCAAATGGTACAAATGTGACTTTGGTCAGAAATTATATCACAGATAGTGTACCTTGAGCTAGAATTTATCGACATAAAAAATAATAAATTTATTTTGACACAATCTACTCTTTTTGAACAAAGACCTTTGAACAAGTCATCATGGTTTTTCTAGCAGTGACTAACAGGCATGGTTTCCTGGTCCTGCGGATGTAGGGATTTTTCTACCTTTCTTTCTTTTTTTTTCTTTCTTTCTTTCTTTCTTTCTTTCTTTCTTTCTTTCTTTCTTTCTTTCTTTCTTTCTTTCTTTCTTCCTTCCTTCCTTCCTTCCTTCCTTCCTTCCTTTCTTTTTTTGAGGCTCGGATTTTCTGTTGTAGACTTTAAAGCTTTATTTCCAGGTAGCAGAAGAAACATATCTCAAAGGTGAGTTATGTCTAATTTCAGCTTTCCTTTCACTGGTCAAAAATTTTACACCATTGTTATAAAAAAACGTTTTGGTGTTTATTATCATCTCTGTGTAAATTTTCTTTCTGAATAAGTTTGTTCCTTCACCAAAATGTAACCATCTAGCCATCATCTTTATTTGTACCATTCTCAGAGATAATAGCCCATTTGAACAAACTAAACTTTAGACTTTAAAATAGCAATAGTTTTATCATAGTTACATAATTTCTTCACCAATCATCAAGTTCATCTTTCCTACTTTCTCTACATTTGTTGTACCTATTAAAAAGTTTTGTTCTTGACATTTTTTGTCATTGTAGAAGTCAAAGTTCTCTTCAGCATATTTCTGTAATTTAGCAGGAGGTTGAATATAAACTTTTTGTTCTAGATAACTGTCACTCATTTTTAAATCTTTAACAAACACAAGTACTTTTTTCTATTCTACACAGCAGCCCGTGGGAGATTGCCCAGCCAACCTTGAAGAGTGCTTCAACAATGTGTCCCAAGTACCATCACCTTTTCAGTCAAATTCAAAATCAAACTCAATATTACTTTATAGTTATACCTCATAACTAGATCATATTTTTAAAGGTATAACATTCTTTGGATGCTACAAACTCTCATTAACTACTTAATTTGTTTATTCATGCACAAAACTACCTCCCAGAGATTAGACTAAGTCCCTTTAAGGGTTTTAGGCCTCCATTCTGAGCTGTTTTGATTTATAGAAAAAAACTGGAAAAACTCTAGAAGTAGAACAGTTCACTTCCTTTGTAAAACCTGTTTTAAAAAAGAGACAGTTTTAAAAGTCAAATAATTCATAGAAAAAACACGATGATTTTTTAAAAAACATTTTCTCCAAAATAGGGCACTAATATTGACTGTCCATGCGCTGTGCGCCAGGCGCCGTGCTGGGCCCGGCAGAGGTCGAGAAACGCCAGGTCGAAGCCAGAGAGCCCAGACTGGGGCCCGCGGGGGTACTAGGTCTGGCTTGCACAGAACTGAATTGTATTTTACTGTTTTTAAGCTTTTTATTTTGAAATTAATTTATAGTTAGAGAAACCTTACAAAAATAACAGTTCCCACGTCCTGTATACTTAACATTCCCAAAGTTAACATCTTACATAACCATAGTATAATGAACAGGAACCAGGAAATTAACATTGATACAATGCTTCTAATTAATCTGCATGCCTTCTATGAATTTCATCAGTTTTCCAAATAAGTACATTTTTGAACCACAGTATTTTTAGAAGTTTAAATTAATTAAAAAGTAAGGGATTTCCCCTAACAGTCTAGATCCTACCTAATCTCTTGAAAAATCTGGCCACGCTGGACCTATGTTCCCACGGCCACACCAGCCAGCTCTGAGCAGTGACCGTACCCTTGAGACAGGCACACGCTTTCCGGTTTGACACTGTTCTTTGACTCCCTGGCACGGAGACTCACTGTCAGCTGCTATTTGTCACTGAGCTGTCACTAGTCATTTTCTTGTACTAGAATTATGAGGAAAGTGAAACTCTTCTAAGGCCTGTATCTATCAAAAATAACAAAAATGAAGGGTAGACTAAGAGAAACACATGTTTAAAGAACAATGAGAGCACCATATTTCCTTGTGGCAAGGAAGAATATTCCCACATGTTACATACGTAAATAAAGTGTGTTTTTGTTTAAAAGAGACACCCACAGTTTTGTCCATTTATATCACCTGCCTGGCCCCTGTGCATCTGAGACTGCAAACCTCTCCCACAGACTTTACCCTAAAGAAGCTTTGGTATGGAAACAAAGCATATGTTTGTGGATATTTGGACAATGGCTCTAAAAGGAATATAAAGAAAGATGCCAAAATGCTAACCCCGGGTCATTTCAAACTCTGTTTTAACAATGTCCGATACCTAGACTTTGGAAAGCTGCTAGGGGAGGTCTGGGACCCTGCAGACCTCAGGCTGACTGAGGGCACCCCCTTCGCTGGCCCTTCATCACCCCTAACAATTCCACTCAGCCCTAGTCAGCTCCCTATCCCACTGCCCTGCCCAACCTTCAATTTCTTCCTCAAGTTTTTCCTCCACTGCTCCATCTTGCTTTCAGTAGATGGCTTTGCCTTCTGCTTCTCCAAGAAAAGAGACATCAGTGAGCAGTTATGCTCTGACATTCTCAAATCCATGCCTTTTGCTCACAACTTACTTGCTACCTCAGGCAACGCTAGCCCTTTACAGGTGCCTCCTCTCCCACTACATCAGAGATCGTGCTCTTAACCACATCCTCCTCGTTTGTTCAGCTCTCACTGTCTGCTTCTCTTTTCCTTAACTATAACAAGCATGATTAAGTCTGTCCCAGCTCTCAAATAAAAACAAACCAAAAAAAAATCTTCTTTGAACCCCACTTTCCACTCTAGCAACTATCCTGTATCTCACTTTCTTCTCACAGCCAGGTGAATTGAACAGGTTTCTATGGTTAAGATCTCCCACTACAATCGGCCTTAGCCAGCACTGCTTAAACTAATCTCAATATTAATAACATCAAGAGTCTCTTTGTCAAAACCAGTGGAAATTTTTGTCTGATGCTGGGGTCCATTTCCTCTTAAAAATGCTCCACTGTCTTGGATTTCTGATACCACTCTATTGGAATTCCTCTTTCCTTGTGCTTCCTTCGCAGTTTGGCTGAAGACCCCAACCCCTTCTCCTTTTACTCTTACAATTTCCCATGGGCAACCTCCTGGGCCCAGGGCTATTGGGTGTCTCTGCCCTCTTGGGCACTTAGCATATCCATGTCTTTGACACTAGAGGATGTTTGCCTTTTTGTTTTTCTGCCTCCCCCTAGACTGTGAACTTCTTCAGATCACAACTATGTTTCAACAATGTACTTGCCAAACACAATATCCACCCAGCCTGGTATTGTAATGAAGACACTCAGACTTTTTGTTCAAGAAGTAAATGTTAGCAAACTTGACTGAGACCCCATGACCACAATACCCTCATCTTACCTTAATGCATGGCATTAAGGACATCAATTTTGTATTAATGACCACGAGGTCTGCACAGTGATGGTTCAGTATGGGCTTTGGAGTCAGACATCTTGGGCTGCCAGTACCATTCAGACTCCCTGCTCTAGGGTGTGTAACCTTGGGCAAGTAGATTTCACTGAGCCTGAGTGTCCCCATCCTTAATAGAGCTAACTATAGTAACTGCTTCTTAAGATTGTGAGAACACCTGTAAGGCTTCAGAGGGGGTCCTAGCATATACTAGGTGTTAGTAAGACTGATGTTAGCAAAAAATGATAGCAAACTAAGTTAATATTATTGTTAGTTACTTTAGCATCAGACAAATGCCTCCAGCTCTTTACTAATTAAGAGTACTAAAGAATTCTGATACGACCACCAGGAAAACTATCAAAAATTGGCTATCTCTGTGCTACCACTTATTCATGAAATATTTTACTGAGTTCTTATCATGCAAAGCTCTGCTTTAGGCCCAATTCTGAAGCTTATTCGGCATCCTCAAAGCTTTGGTGATACCTCTTGGCAAGCGAGTTAAAACTTCCCCAGTCCACTGGCTCACGCCTAAAGTAAAATAGAATTGAGCATCCGACAGGAAGGCGGACAGAAAATGAGTGTCCGCAAAGGCAGCCCGGAGCTGCCTGCACCGCAAGCGCCCTGGAACCCCGAGGTCCGCGCCCAGCTCCATCCTCGGTTGACAGCAAGGGGGAAAGACAGGGCTGGCTCGCGGTCTTTCTCCACTCTCTGGTGCGCTGCTCGAGAGCAGACCTGGAGCGGGCCCCGCAGCGGTGCTCTCTGACCGTGCCACCCCCCTGACCTTTGTCCTCCGCCACTGCTGTCCCCGCGCGCCCCTGAGCCCACCGTCTCCCACCCCGGCTGGAGGCTGAGGGGCGTTACGCGCGCCCGCGCGTGAGCACCCAGCCTCACAGCAGCCCTGTCACCCACCTGCTGCCCCAAGGCTAATGTGCGCCAGCAGGACCTGCCTGCCAAGTCTTCTCGATGACAGCTGATGCCCGGGCGTTCCGGCTGGGCTGGTCCGTGAGGGCTCCGTCCGCTGCGTGTTAATATTTCACCTCGCTCTCCCCTCCCCCACCTACACTCTGGGCACACCCGCGGTTGGTGCTTTCCTCTCCGGACTTAGGGGAACTCCGGCGGTAAAAACCACAGACACTTCCCCTTAATCACTCACTCGGGGATTTCCATGACCCTAAAAGCGCGATTATTTCTAAACCTCTGTGCATCCGCGAGACATTTACTGAAAGGCTAAGCTCTGCTTCACTGATCGTGGGTCAGAGGAAAGAGTGATAACCTATGCAGGGAAGATGATCGCTGGTCATTTTGACTGGAAATGGTCCATCTCCCTTATCTACATATTTTTAAAAACTCTTGAAACTTGGTGAAACCTTTCGGATAATTTTTACTTTTTGGTCTGATTGAGAAATTAGACCAAATTAGGACCTTTGGTACTTGAACGTTGTACTTCCCCCACAGAATTTCAATATATATACTCAAAACAGACATCTTTATGATCACTCTGGCACATATTTCTGAAATAATGTATGTGTAAATTAAAATTTAATTTTTTCCTGTGATCTAAGCCTCTAAGTATTAAAGAAAAATTCTTCATTGATTGCATTATCATTTATATTACTTTTGATACTTATTATACAATTGTCAAAATAACATAAATTTTTATAAATGTTGATAATTCATAAAGATAAGTAAAATTCTATTACAAATATAATCTTAATGGGGTTGCAGGTTATATTTTAACAATTTATTCAAGTGTGTGTTCACAAATATTACCTATTATTGGAATGTGATAGGGTTCACATAGATTCGGTTCCTTTTTCTCATTTCTAAAGATTGTAAGTGTTGAAAATTTCTTTTACACAAGTAAGTAGATAGGCCCAGAAGATATTATTCTATCAATCATCTTGCATTTTTTGAACCTTTATTTTATAGATCAAAAGCCATTTACTAATCTTTAATCCAAAAATGTAATTAGTTATTGGTAGATGGCTCAATTTAGTTTAGATCTGTGACTTGAAAATGACAGACTTTTGCTCTCCGTGTTGGGTGTCCAGAGTTAGAAAATTAAAATACAAGGCCCTTAGCTAAATTTAAATATGAGACAAACAATAAATCATGTAACTCATTATTCATTGAATGCATTATTTATTGATTATCTGAAATTCAAATTTAATCGGGTGTCCTATATTTTACCTGGCAACTCTATACCCACATATTAGAGTCATTCATTTTCTTAACACTAACAATGAATATTTCTAATTGTCCAGGAAAATTTTATACCCATTTTAAAATCCAAGGTGGGTGAGAAACTAGCCAGTATATTTTTAAGAGAGAACCATCGTGAAAATATTGGTGGAAGCTGGGAACCATAACTCTTGTTTCCAGGCAGATCAGTTTTAGGAAAACCTACACATGGAAAAACGACTTGTGAAATACTCCATCAGATCGTTAACTCCCTGAAACCTATTTGAGTTACCACTTCCACATTGCTAAATTTTTTGTAAAGAGTTGGTACGTTCATCCAAGAGAACATTTATCCCAGTTTAAAGGTGAGGGCCTAAGAAACCCTAAACTAAGATTCCCAATCATTATTAATTCTTCTGATTGATAATGATTGTTGTGGCCCTGGCTGGGGTAGCTCAGTGGATTGAGTGCAGACCTGAGAACTGAAGGGTCACCAGTGCGATTCCCAGTCAGGGCACATGCCTGGGTTGCAGGCCAGGTCCCCAGTAGGGGCGTGCTAGAGGCAACCACACACTGATGCTTCTCTCCCCCACTTTCTCCCTCCCTTTCCCTCTCTAAAAATAAATAAATAAATAAAATATTTTTAAAATAATAATAATGATTGTTGTCATCAGACCTGTCAGGGCTTACACTGGATCAATATATGGTCTTTGCAACCTTTTACACAACTCTAATGTCTAATTGCTGATTTTTTTTTAAAGTACAATATTTATTTACCTGTAACAATTCTAAGTTGCATATGAGCAAGGACTGTATATATTGTTCACAGCACTATGCTAGTACTAGCAGTGCAAATAGTAGGTGCTCAATGAATCATTGTTGATTACAAAAATGGAATCAATCTATTCACTTGGGACTACTTTATTCTAAAACTGCACCCAAGTTTTTAATAGTGTAACATTTCCCTATCTACTTCTTTGAATATTCATGAATATATTTTCTCTCCAAATACTATTTTAGAGACAGAAATAAGGAAGGAAATGTTTGAGAAAAGTGACAAGGTAGACACATAGGCCCATTACTACCTCTAGTTCTCCAGTTTTCTTCTACTATCAGTGTGTTAGTGTGTGAGAGGGTTTTTTACTCCATTCTGGTTTTGAATTTTGATAACTCTTAACAGTGGTTCATTGTCAATATCTTATTACTAAACAATCACCTTTAAAATATTTTTCCCTTGAGGGTAATCATGCTAAAAAATTCTTCTTCTGGAAGAAATTTCAAATAAAAAATAAGTGATAACAACTTCCAGCCTAAAGCTATTTTGCACTGTAAATTTTCAAAATTTTTAATTAAAGAGTCTACTCAGGAATCTAGAAGTGAAAGTAAAAGTGAAATCTAACAAAGGGAACATGCGGCTCTGGTTCCAAAGTAAACATGAGAGTAAATGCCAGAAATTTCTTAGTCTGTTGACAACTTTGTACCTTGCAAATAAAACACAGCCACATCAGCCTTGAACAAGTGCTGATGAAGATATTTACAAGTAAATATTTTTAATTTAGACAGACCTGTTTTTAACTAATGAAGGTTACCCTTATAAATGGTGGCTTAATTTTTCTTTTTTTTTTTTAGTTATTGGTTTTAGAGAGAGAAGAACAGAGAAAGAGAGAGAGAGAAACACTGATTTAATGTTTCACTTCTTTATGCATTCACTGGTTGATTCTTGCATGCACATTGACCAGGGATCCCACCCATAAATTTGGCATGTTGGGATGATGCTGTAACCAACTGAGCTACCTGGCCAGGGCAATGGTGGCTTACTTTTCATTTTTTGTCCTGACTGTACTTTAGTACCATATAATTTAGATAACTTTGATAACATAATTTAGATAATTTAGATAGTCTAAAGTGCGCACAATTTAAGTGAACAGCTCCTGAATTTTAACAAATATATATACTTAGGTGACCATTAACCATACCAGGATCAAGAAAATTTTCCATCACCCAGTAAAATTCTTTTATGCTTTTTTCCAGTCAATACCTATCAAATCTACCATCCCCCCATCTCAACTACTATTCTGATATCTATCACCATAGATTTGTCTGCTCTTGAACTTCATATAACTGGGATCATATAATGTGTATTCATAAAGGCTTCTTTCACTAACATATTTTTATTTTTGTCCCATTGTAGTGCAACAATAGTTTGTGCTATGTATTGCCATGTAGTGTTCCACTGGATGAATTTACTGTAATTTGTTTATCCATTCTCCTGTTGACAGATACTTGGGTTTCTTGGTTTGATACCTTATGAAAAGTAAAGCTCTAAACATTTCAGTTCAAGTTTTTTTGTGAATCTATGGATTCATTTCTGTTGCATAAACACCTGGACATGTAACTGCCATTGAATATGTATGTATTTTTTATTAGAAGCTGCCAAAAATTTTCACAAAGAGTTTACACCATTTTATACTTCCAACAGCAATATATAAGAATTTTAGTTTTTGGACATTCTTCCTGAGACTTAGTATTGACAACTGTTTAAATTTGAGCTCTTCTGTTGAGTTTGTAATGATACCTCATTATGTTTTTAATTTTTATTTCCCTAGTGATTAATGATGTTTAATATATTTTTGTATGCCTTTTGATGATTTATAAATCATCTTTCATGAAGTGTCTGTTCAAATTTTCTGTCCATTTTTAAACTGAATTGACTTTTATTATTAATTTAAGGGAGTTCTTTATATTCTGGATATAAGTCCTTTGATATATGGCTTGTGAATATTTTCTTCAAGATGGTGGCTTGACTTTGCCTTTATGAACAGTTTCTTTTATTTTTTAAAAGGATTTATTTATTTATTTATTTATTTATTTATTTATTTATAGACAGAGAGAAAGAGTGGGACAAAGAGAGAGAGAGAAACATCAATGTGTGGTGCCTCTCCCATGCCCCCGCACTGGGGAACTGGCCTGCAACCCAGGCATGTGCCCTGACTGGGAATCGCACCAGTGACCTTTTGGTTCACAGGCCAGCTCTCAATTTACTGAGCCACACCAGCCAGGGTTTGAACAGTTTCTTTTAATAAGTAGAATATTTCTATTCTGATGAAGTCTAATATAACAATTTTTATGTATAGTGCATTTTATATCCCACTTAAGAAATATTTATCTATTTCAAGATAATTTCTTCTATGGTTTCTTTTAGAAGCTTTATGACATTAGCTTTTACAGCTTAAGACTATGATTTATCTCAAATTAATTTTTGCATGCAAAACTAACTGAAGGCCAAGATTTGTTTTTTCTTTAAATATTATTCCATCACAATTTATTGAAAAGACTCAATTCCTCATTAAATTGCTTTAGTGTCTTTTTCAAAATCAGTTGAACTTATATCTGGAAGTTTCTTTTTGGACTTTATTCTGTTCTATGAATCTATTTGTCTACCTTTATGCCAATGCTATAATATATTGATTACTGTATCTTTATAGTAAGTATTGCTATCAGATAGCATAAGTCCTCTAACTTTGTTCTTCTTCAGAATTGTCTTGTCCATTTTAAGACCTTTACATTTTCATATAACTTTCAGAATTGTTTTGTGAATATCTTTTTTTCTGGAAATTTAGCATTACATTCTATCTATAGATCAACTTGAGAAGTATTGAAATTTTATTGTTATTGAGTCTTCTATCACATGAGTATGATATATTCCTGTATTTATTGGCTTTCCCTAGTTTTTTTGTTTACAGTACAAAAATCTTTCTCATATTTTGTTAAATTTATCCTAAGTATTTCATATTTTTGATACTATTATAAATAGTGATTTTAAAATTTCAATTGTTAATAGAATTTTTTTTGCTTCTTTTTAAAAAATTTTATTGATTAT